ATTGCGGTCCCACAGCGAATTTCGCAGCCGCCCCTCAGTTTATAAACAGCACCGTAAACAACTAGAGGTATGTTCAAAAACCATTTGTACGAGCCCCTGGTTGTTTGGTTTTTGATCTTGTTCTTCTTTGTTTTCACCCCTTCGACCGACCATCTGCCGCCCTCCTCCTCGGCTATGAGGTAGAACCGTCGATCGAAGGTTCTTTGACTGTGCACCGTAGAGCTTCGGACATTCAACAACACTACAGGCAAAGCGAGATGAATTGTTCAGAACTATGCATTTTCCCGCTTTGATAGCAAAACGTTTGTGAAAAGGTCCGCATATTTCAAAAAAGTGTTTCACTCTTGGATGTAGAAGAAATTACACGCTCTGTTGGATTTTGTTTTTATTCATTTTTGCTTCTTCCAAAAACTTGAAACACACCCTGATTGAGATTGAGATGAACCAGAGTCCGTGGTTGTCGCAACCTTGTGATTTCTGTACGCCTTTTCCACCACTTTTGGCCAGAACTGGTTCACCGTCAACGGTGGAACAATATTATCTCGTTTTTCCTTAAAAAAATTATGCGGCGCGATGTTGAATTATTTTCAAACGTTATGCCTAGTTTTTTACCTGAGTCAATTCAGGTCTATCCGGAAGGGATTTTGCAGAGGGAATGTCGGCATCCACTCTTGCGCTTGAGGGAGCTGACGGCAAAAACATAGGAAGTCGCTTGTCAGGTGTAGTGGTAGCAACAGCCACAGGCAATGAAGAAGGTGCTATCTGAGCTTGAAAAAGGTTGTTCTTTCCTTCAGAAGTATTTGAGGTCCATTTACGATTATCATTATCATTTTACGATTTCATAGACCTATGTTTTGGAACAACAAAAAGGAAACACGTCTAAATTAGGTCATTATAACTAATATAGGTGATTTGGTTCGACTTATGTCAGACGGAGCACTTTGTTTTTCAAAAGTTCAGGTGTTCTTAAGAGCGAGTAGCGATTGTCTCCTTTTCTCAGATAGTGACGAGCATTTTATGCGCCTTGAAGGAGCTTATCAAAAGCTCAAAATACAGAAACATCAAGTAGTCTAGTGTGTGGCAATTGGGCCTCCTAGTTATTTATTAACTCTAGCTTACTTTTGTATGCTCATAGGAATTACGAGCGCTTTAATGAATAGTCCTTTGTTTTTTTTTTTTTGAGCGCGAAGGCAGTATGCAACTGACTCTAGTTTTGCCACGTTGCGGCTCTTATTGGTGATGTGTGAAGTTTTAAATACCATTGTTTCGTATAATGATTGTAGAAAACCAGTTTTTTTTTTCTCGAATTGCAATGGACTTACCGAATGCGGCACTATTGGGAGAGCAGGTTCAGACAGTTCCACAGGCATCAGTGGCATTTTGGGCTCCTTAAAATACTTTTTTTTCATGGTCAGTGATGGGTTCTATTTGTTCAGCTGATCATGGAATTATATGGATGACGCACATTCGGATTGCTGAACGAGCTGTGCCACATTCTCAGTTGCTCTTGGAGCTGAAGTTCCATTGCCTGTCTTTCATGTTCTAGTTCCTGTTCCTGTAGTGATTAATTACTTCATACGTTTCTCAAGCAACTTTCGTGAATGAAACCTTCTTTCTGAGCTCTTCCTCCAATTTCCTCTGTTCCTCGATTTTCTTCCTCTGTTCAATGAGCTCGTTCTGTAGTAGTTGCAACTGCTTCCGCTTGGCGATCAGTTCTTTTGTCTGGAGACTCTGCTCGTAGTTTTGAAGTATATTTTGCAATTGTCGGATTTGCTAAATTGCTGACTATTTAAGCGAATACTTTACCCTATATCCAACACACCTACCTCCACGTTCATCACATTGCCAGTGCGTAGACTAGTCACTACCGCATTCACTTCAGGATCGAGTGAATTTTGAGCAAAGGTAGTAGGAGCGTTACTGAGAAGTGTGCCCGGCATGTCTAAACACTTAGATTAAGTTGTATTTCCCGCCATTCAGAAAACCAAGATCAACGGAGTTGAACCACTGCGGGCGCAGTTGTTGCTCTCGCAAAAATACTTGGATTCGAAGTCGCTACTATTGGGAACTCACCTTTTCGCATTTTTCTGTGGAGTATATTTCTCAATTGCCAGAGTTCAATTTATCTACGAAATATAAACGATACAATACCCACCCTAAATGTTTAAAAAAAAAACGAAAAGACGCGTTTTTGCGATTTTTTCGTTTTTTTTTTCTCTGTAACTAGGTTAATTCGCAGTTTTTCAATTGTGTATATGGTTGAACTCAACTCCTCGAGCTCTATAACATGGTATATCTAAAATTTTGAAAAGTTTGATTTCGAAGTTCTAAGACCACCAAAGTTCCTCAGGGCACGTCATGAGCAACGACGCTCGCTATAATTATAGTCAGAAGGCAATCGCTTCTATTGAGAGTGATAAGAGAGGTTGTGCTGATCATTTCTATATTATTTCTTACCAGAATAAATTAACTTAGCAAAACACCAACTTCAAATTACAGCTGCTTATCAGACTGAAATAAGGCGGATATGAGTGGACTCTCGGTTCCAGCCGATCATTCGCCTGTTCTGCAGAGACAGCACTATTCATATTCAAAAATGGCATCAATATTCAGCAGCCTTGGTGGGGTTCTCAGCAATCCATTTCCTAGAAGAGTAGAATGGCGGAGCTCTCGAGCTGTTATCATACCAATGCGGGCTCGTCTAGTGCGAACGTTGGCGTTGACAACGTTTTTCACCGTCTGCCACACACTTGGCTCCGAGACCTTCGAGTCGTTGGAGTATTTGAATATCACCTAGGACTAGGGAAATTTTCTATGTCGGTTACATTGGTTTCGCGTAGTGGCTTCATTCATAGGTAGATAAAAATCACCTTCCGCGTGAAGTCTATTATTTTCGCCAAGAATTTCCTTTCCTCTACATTCTTATCGATCTCCGACTGATCGTCTTTAAACAGTTCCTGCTCTAATGCCAGAGCAAACTTTGTCAAACTTCCGTACTTCAAGGAAAGAAAGCCTCTACTCGATCTTGGGGAACCATCGAGTAGTCTACACCATCTTCTGGATTACAATTAATAATTTTAACGAACAACCCTAAGTGATTTAAGAGGGAGAACCACCTGTCAACGTGCATCTTTCTTTTTCTTTATTTCCCTGTTCCTCTAGAGAGGTCATGCGTCGATCTAAGCGATTAATGCGGTAGCTTACTTCATCAATCCTTTTACCGATATCGTGGAAGCCGCCTGCGATGAATCTTTTCATTTGCGTCATCTGCTCCTCCAGCTTGAAGATCTCTGCCTTCACTTGCTCCACTGTTTCAGTTGCACAGCTGTTGCTTTCTGCTCCATGGTCAATGTCATCCTGAGGATTGACACTGCTCCCCCCAACTGTGAAAAGTCTTTCTACCAGCTCTAGGTCCCCAGTCACGTCTCCTACCTTCTCTTCACATTTATCTTTCGACGAAATGTGAACAATCCTGAAAGAGCTATGCAGTAAAATCTCGAGATCAGATTGATGGTAGACTGTCCTGTCCAAACGTACTTTGACGGTAACGTTGACAGTGTGACCTCCATTAATAGCTGACAGCGGTGCAATGTCAGCAGTCTTCGATGAAGTGAAGAAGACGATAGCGTAAAATCAGTGATAGTTTAGCTGGAATCCAGCTACCGAATCTTTCCTCTTTATTGACGTCGCAAATCAAGTGGCAGTATTTTGTAGTTGAGCTATGGTCTCAACGATATACTCGTGATCCCCCTTGTGAAGAGTTTCATATCGAGCTCGAAAACACCGCTTTGTATTGCGCACAAACGCATCATTGTGGACAGCTATTCGGCAGACTCATCAACTACCATACCATTTATAATGAGGCGCCTTCTTGATCCGAATATATCTGTTAGTGCCCCACAGCTACGCCGTCTGAGGAACAAACAGGGATTTAAAAGAGCAACGACAAAATACTGCCACTTGATTATTTAAATACTCTTGTGCCGTGCGAGGTTGTTAGGTGGAACGATTTATTAATTCAATGGCCTAACGTTTCGACGCTATCGTCTTCTTCAGAGGCCTAAAGCAATTTGAGATGATTTGCACGGTATCCAAAAAGCGTATCTCCCCTTTGGCGAATGAGACAACGAATTCAAACCCACAATTCGAATCTTAACTCACCAGGGTTCCACCGCTCAAGCGGATGCAAATCCGCTGTCGCCACAGGCGACTGTCAGTAGCGAATGAGACTTCTTGTGTTGTCTCCCTTATACTTGTGATAAGGAAGATCACGTCGTAATGCTACTGAGTCATAAGCCGCAGTGCGGTATATACGGCAAAAGATCGTTGGTTATAGATGGGCACTCATCTCTACCGTTCATTTTAGGATTTCTTTGAAAGATCCAGAACGCCTCTAATGCTTTTCTCGCTGAAATCTCCGTCTCCTGCGCTAATATCGTGCACTTTACTTCAAAGTTGTTGCCGTTGTGCTCCTCCATTTTATGCCTACCAAGCGCCGTCATCAGGCTGCCACGCCTCATACTAGCTAGGTGCTCTTTCATCCGTATAGCTAGCTGTCTTCCCGTTTCTCCGATGTATGTTGACCCACATGTCCGGCATTCTATTTGGTAAATCACGCCTATCAGTGCGCAATCACCCGTTTTTCC